AATGAAAAATCAGAATCACAGAAAACTAGGGCTGGAACGGACCACAGCAGAACCCTTCCTCAAGACAGGATCATCCCTCACTAAACCATCCCAGTCAAGTGTTCATCTAATCTGTTCTTGAAGATTTCCCAGGACGAAAATTCCAAAACCTTTCTGAGTAGCCTGTTTCAATGCTTAACCACTCTCAGAACGAAAAAAGTTCTTCTTAATACCCAACTTAAATTTCCCCTGCAGTAATTAGTAAAATTCTGATATAAGTCAATAAATGCAGGATTATATTGAATTTTTTGTCTCATTAATTTAAATGCATCTACAGAGTGTGTGGCAGTTCATCTCAGTGATATACCACGGCTGTGTGAATGTAATTCAAGGAGACAAAGTACCTTGTATAATGAAGGGTAAGACTAAATGACCCATTACAGAATTTACTTCTAGCAGATATTAAGTGTACTTCACTCAGGTGTTACACTTCCTTTATGAAATAAGTGCCATCAATTAACTAATCCTAGTTCAGACTGGCCATATGATTCATTAGTATTACAATTTACCTTTTAGTCTGTAACGAATTAATTCAGTCACTTCTACAGGCATGCAAAGAAAAGGGGAAAGAGGTCAAAGAAAGACAGTAGAAGGACACAAACTTAACATTAAGGATCTAGTCCTGCTCTCCTTAAAGTCAATGAGAATTTTGCCATTGATTTCAGTGAAAGCAGGATCAGGACCTAACCAAGTAGGCTGATATAATAAAGGTGAATGGAAGATTAAGAGAATTATATAATTTTAACCTCAAAAGCAAACCTAGTAAAACAGCAATAAAGAAACTTTGTGAGGTCATTTTACTGCTTTAAGTATTATTTTGTCACTTTTCCTCCAAGCACACATTGAGTAAGCAGCTATCAGGTAGGGGTATGCAAAACAGGCTGTATTCTATTCAGATTCAGCCCAAATTGGGGACAGTGATTCGATTTGTTGATTCAGATCACTGTCCCTGATTTGATTCAGCCAAATCCAAATCTGAAGATTCAATGCTGATTCCGAGACTCCGTGATTCAGCCATAGACACAGCTTTAAATGTTTTTTCTACGTACGAGGTACCAGGCGCAGCTTGTGAATGCTGTAATGCTGGGGCAAATGGAGCATCCCACAGGAGCGCCAGGGGGGGAGGCAGGGGAGAAGCGGGGGCCCTGTGTGCTCCCCGCCAGACCAAGAAGTGGACCTGAAGTGCTTCTGGTCCACTTCCAGGTCTGATGCTGAGCATGCTGGGAGACCCCCATGCTCCTGTGGGACACTCCATCTGCCCCAGCATCGCTGCACTCATGAGCTGCCTGCTACCTAGAGGTATATAGAAAAAATATTTATAGCTGTGTCTATGTCTGAATCGCTGAATTTTTCCAAACCTCTCCAAATCAATTCAGAGGGTTCCAATTCAATTCAGAGAGATTAAAGGGTCTCCTGATTCGATCTGGATTCAGAGTTTCAGCCACCGAATCAGGCTGAAATCTCCACCGAATCAAATCAGGGATCAAAGCTTCACACAGCCCTACTATCAGGATAAAAATAGTCAAACTGGCGGCAATATTTTTGACAAAACATTAAGGACAATATTGTGCTCAGCCTCCATAAAGATGCAGAAGTCTGGAGTAATATAATGCACACCAGACACAGTAGTAATCCTTGGGTTCAGAGAATGAAGGATGCGAGCTACTATGAATGTTTGGGGGGGGGGGGTTTCTGCGGGCTCTATAGCCCCATTCTTATCTGAAGAGGTCACTGCACCTTTAAATAAATGGTCTAGAGGTCACAATCCCTGTGCAGTTCCTGGAAATACAATGTACGATGCAAAATACTTCCTCCAACACTGCTGGTCTCCAATACAGGGCTTGACATGCAAGGCACAATAAATAGATCCCTAGCATTTCTTGGTAAATCCAATCAATTCTCAGTATTACTTTTGGAGAAATTATTCCTCTGTTTAGCAGTTTGGGTTTGAATGAGACCAGCTTCTCATCTCTGCATAACTGTCATAAGCATTGTGCTGAATCAGATAGCCAAAGATATTTTACTAAGGCAAATAATCATTCATTTATCAAATTTTCAAGACTTTTTTTTCTCACTACCCCTAAAGTATTTTCACACTGGAAGTCTAGTTCTCAATTTTAATAGGAAGTCCTCATATTAATGATTTAGCAAAATGATCAAGGCTTTTAAAAAACAAAACAAAAACAAAACCATACATTAAATAAATAGCTTCTGTAAAAATAACTGAAATGAATACATCGCAGTCCTGGTTCTTATGATAACTAACCAACTCTTTTAGGTATTCTTGCCATACACGTGTTGTCACTAAGCTACTATAATAACAGTCAATCTAGAGAATATGATTAAATTCATACAACAAATACAAATTGAAAAAGTAATTATTTTACTGATGCAGATGATATACCCAGTTTGGGAGGAGATGTTGTCATAGGATACAAGATGAGCTCAACTGACGTTAAATTAACAAGGAAGAATTCCTGCACCTCTGGAATATCATCCTGAAAAACACAAACAGAATAAACATTCCTTTTTGGGTCTTTTAAAGAAACAATTTGCAACTCACCCAAAAAGCAACGCTAAGTCCAATATCACAATCATGTTAAGTCTTCTTTCTACCTTCCTGAAATAGTACTGGGTCTGAGAGTAATCTTCAGGTGAGACATATCAGATAAAGCATTAAATTTCATAGAGAAGTCACTACAGTGACACCAAACTATTCCTGAACATAAATTCCATTGTGAATTTAAAGGCATTAAAAATAACCCACTAAAAATAAAACAAACAAAAAACATAAAAACAAAAGGAGAAATCAATTCATAACAGTTTGTAGTTAATAAAGAACAGTATTCTTAATTCTAGATATTGAGTAAAACTTAATGAGATGGTTCGATTTTATTTATGTATATCTATTTGTATCTGCTATCTGTGATTAACTGCACCCCTTTGATTTCCATTTTTACCGTTAAGGCAAAAAGCTCTTTTCATTATTTCTAAAACACAATGAAATATGCTGTACAGCTTTAAATTATAGGCAGGATGTAGAAACTGGGACCAGATTATGCTTTCTTTCAACATGTGTATCAATGAAAGGGATTAAAATTTACCTCCAGAATGGTAATATTTATGGCAGCTGATGTTTCACCTTCCCCTAAAAGGAATGATCCAGAAACAGGTATATAATCAACTCCAGGTTCAGCCAAGATCCCTTCTGTCTGATTCCTTAATTTAAGGTATCCTGGAACTGTTGTATATGTGATATTGATAACACCTGGTGAATTTGAAACAAAAGCAAAACATGTTTTTATTCTAGCTCCTGCATGACTACAAACCAAGTAGCAAGATAGGAAAAGCATGGGAGAAAGTAAGAGGTATCCTTGATTTACAGCCAGGTAATTACAGAATAGAGATTAGATCAAAAGCTTTCAGTGAGTCTGTGGGGAAGCACTAGGTCCTTGGCTCTGAAACAATCAACTGGGCAGGTCTGCAATAGAGTCATGCATCTTTAAAGTTCAGGGTCCCCAGCCATACTTCTTTCTTCCAAATGGGACTACAGGGCTTGCTAAGCAGACTACCCGAGTACTAGAGACAAAAAGATCGCTGGCTCCTTGGTTCCAGGACAGCCAGCCATGCCAAAGCTTCTAAGATTTGCAATTAACAATGAAAGCAATTGCTTATGTATTTGAAGCTTTAGCTTTTGATCAGGTTGATTGAACACACCTGTCCTAGGTCCCAGTCTACTGTCATTTCTAGAAATCATCTTTGTTCCTTGCCAAATGGTGCTAATTTCCCCCTCTCCCAAAGAAAAGGAAGCCTTTCTCCAAACATTCTCCTTTTAAACCACTAAATTAGATGTAAAAGCAAACCGAGTATGATTTGTGGTTATTTTTTGCTTATATTTCTCCTACAGTATGTCAGTAATTTTTTACATATCAAGTGATTAACTCTCTCATTCAAACATGAAACTACCAATTTGCTGAAATTTAAAGATGATGCATGAAGTGGATATTTACATAGTTGCCATAATCACCATTATATGCCCTAATTTATAACTATACGATTTAGTAAAGTAACAACACTCCTAAAGAAAGGATCATTTGAGAACTACCCATAATCACTAACAATATGACAGAGGTTCCTTCTCTGTGACAAAGTAGACACGACACTTTTTTTATACCAGGTGCTTGCTTTGTCCTAGCATAATGACTAGGCATGTGGTACAGTATGATTACTGCTCCTAGCTGGGTTAGAAGTGCACATTTATTCTAGCTTGGAATAATTTATTCTAGCTTATCCTCTCTGGAAACTTCCCCAAGTTTCCACTTCTCCGATTCTCTGGAGGTTGCTTTCTAAGGAGGGACTTGTCCCTACACAGTGCTGAATCCTTATGGTTGACCAGTCCCTGGAAAACTGCATATTACTGCAGCATGGTTGAAGTAGTGAGGAGAATGTACCTTTAAACTTAGGTTTTAATAAAACTGGCACTTTTAATTTCATTCCCTTCTCCTGCCCCTTATGAAGAATGATGTTTTAGCCCCTTAAGTTCAATCCTTTAGGCTAGGGACAGGTATTCAAAAGGCATGAGCCTGAACTGATTCAATGTTTGCAGGTTAGTCTAACCTGGCTAGGCTGAACTGGTTTGTAACTGCACAGACATCCCAGAATTGCCAACACATGCCTGCAGTGGCTCAGGCTAGAAGCAGGGGGGTGGGGGGGAAGGGCGGCACTAGAGCTGCCCTCCCTTTTCTTCAACAGTACTGAGCTCAAGGGGGGCATGGCCAGGCCCCAGGATGCTCCGATTAGCCTAGCAGGGAACTGATAACAGTGTTTATCACCCCTAACTCAGTGTTTATCATCTCATTAAAGAAACAACAGAGGGACATTACCAGCTACCTCTTGATTCAGCCTGGATGGTAGCTAGCATGTGGTCTACTAGCTAATACACAGACACCTCCTCAACAAGGCAAAGGGGAGGAGGGAATTCCTGCTTAGCAGGGAGTGATAAAGGGGAGGTGGGGGAGCAGCCCAAAGTCTTGCCAATGTTGCAGCCAGGGAGCAGAGGGGAGGGGCCAGCTCTGCTGTGGAGCAGAGAGCCCCACCCAGCCCAGAGAGCATGTCAGGATGCTGGAGGAGTCCAGTTTATCTTAAACCAGCAAGGGGTCTAGGACAGACATTGCATAAACTGGTTTGACCCAAATCAGTTAAGTCTGATACTACATTCAACCAAGTTTATTTCAAACCGGTTTCAGCCATTTTCAAACTGGTTTATGTGCACTGAACATCTGTCCTGTTACAGGTTTAAACCAGTTTCTGAACACTTAAACCTGCTTGTATATAATGTCTGTCCTTAGCCCTTAAGGTTCAACTTGGATAAGCTACTGGTGTCTTAGCTGTATCATCAACGTGTTATTACTATGAAGAAACCTTTGTAGCAAACAGGACAGGGCCTCCTGTGCAAATGTATAGCATATTTTAGTTCTGGCCTCCAAGATGCAATATACTAATTTTGTCAGTAGCATAAGTAGGGGTGGTGGGTAGGAACTAGCCCAAGGTGATGACTGGGGTGTGGGCACAGAAAGGTCAACAGTGAACTGTTAAGACAGCTACCACTGCTTTCACCAACAGCCTGGCTGCAATTGCCATTCCTGTGCACCACTGCCACATGCCTATATCTCTGTTGCTGGGCATTTTATGTCAGATAAATAGAGCTTACAGATGGACTGGATTGGAGGGGTGAATAGCAAAGGAGTAACAAAATTAATGAATGTGCATTTCTTACCCAGCTAGGAGCAGTAATCATACTATACCACATGCCTAGTCATTATGCTAGGACAAAGCAAGCACCTAGTATAAAAAGTGTTGTGTCTACTTTGTCACAGAGAAGGAACCTCTGTCATAGTCCCCTCTCCTTCTGCACAAGAAATGAAGGAACTAACCACAGTCCAATTTCCATTTAACTTCATGTACTTTTCCATCCTTTTGATGCTTTATTTTGAAAAGGTAGAATATTGTTAGTGATTATGGGTAGTTCTCAAATGATCCTTTCTTTAGGAGTGTTGTTACTTTACTAATTTGTGTAGTTATAAATTAAGGCATACAATGGATAAGCTAGAATAAAAATGAAGAATATTTGGTTACTGTCCTCTCTGGGTTTTTGACAGGAACAACTACATTATTCAAATAAGATTTCAGAAATCAGAAAGGTATAAACAGAGATGAACATCTGACTGGTATGACTCCTCCTGCCTTTTACTTGGCCAATAAATACACGTTCATAAAATACAAGACCTCCATACTGCAAAGAATTACACAAACCTAAAGATCCATATTCTCTGTTGATAAAAAGCTGGATGGTTCTATTTCCCTCTTGGACTAAAACTATCCTGGATGAAGAAGCAAAATTCAAAACTCCATGTGGTTCATCACTAGCCTCAACTGTCAGAATAGCTTCATACCCTTGGCTATCCAAAACAGCAGCACCTGTTGAAGGAATTCCTGTAAAATAGTCAATGCGTTTGATTAGAAAGAATTTCAAACAACTGAAATGTATTTTAATATTGGTAACAGTTTGCAATATTATATGCCAGGCAGTCAATCACATAGTTAATGAAATTAATCAAGCAGGATGTGATCACGTTGTTCGATTTTCTATGGCTGGTATGGAACCATATATGCTGCCAACCCCACACCGAAGCAGGACCTATGGCCACCAAAAAGGGTGGTTCCACATATGTCCTGTAGTGAACGTGAAACAAGTTACAATACAACATCACAATTAAACTACATTTATAAAAGCATAAAATGCACAATAGAGTAATATGAAATGATGCGAGAAAACAGAGTATCATCCAAAATTAATCCAGAAGACAGGTAAGTAAAAGACAAGATTTTGTCTGTAAACATACCCATGGCTTTAGTAATAAATACAGATTTAAATGCTGACTGTCTCAGAAGGAAGGTGAAAGGTGGGACTAGAACATTCTGCCTTGCTTGAATTAAAGGAACAATTGAAAATGGGAAAATCCGCTTGTGGCATAAAAGTAATTGTTTTAAGTGGTATAAATATCAGCCTACTTCATAACAGCTGTATCCAAAAGGCATGAGTAAATATAAACATATTAGGCCCTATGCTGGCTCTGCCTAAAGAAGTATATATAAACTTCCACTGAATTAGATAGGCAAAATGCATACACACAAATAAGGAACCAATTAAATCTTAATCAGTGGGGGGAAAACATTCACATCTTAAAAGTTGTTTGCGGTGCTTTACATTTTTGCTAGTAAAACCTAAAGCATTAATGTAGATACCACTCCTTTCAGTGTGTGGGTATGCTGATACATTACCTTGGGTTCTGATGTCATATAGGATGAGTTTATATTCTTCCTTTTCTTCAGGAATATGGTCATCCAGCAGATGAACAATGAATGATGCATTCAGTGATTCCTGTTTATTTTAAGTGTTAAAACTGATTAGTCATTGCTGTACAAGATACAAGGCACTATACTTTGAATGTAAGTAGTGATTCCTCACAAGAGTTTTTAATTTAAGAGATCAGAAAATTAGAACCTCTAAATTGGAACTCAAAGAGGAAGAGAACAAAACATTTATCTCAGGAGGCATCTTGGGGGGGAAAGGTATTCAACCTCTCTCACCTCAGCATTAATTTCAGTTTTCATATGGCTTTCCCATTGGTGTTAAATGTGTTTAAGCTGCATGATCTTACCTCAGGAAAGAAGAGTATTCCAGAATAGTTTTCAAAATTTTGTTCTACACGATCACCAACAATTTTCCAGTTAACAGTAACATTTCCCAGTCCAGGGGCAGTTCTTAGAACATGGAACTGCAAGTGTTCTCCTACAAACAGAGCACAATATTTGCCATAGAGAAACCAGAACTGCCTTTGCTTTGTAATATAACTAGAAATTAGAAGCATGCATGCCACAATTTTAGCAACTTTTTCAAAACAAACTCAAGGATCCACTAACAGTAAGCCTTGATGTATAAAATACATTTGTTTTAGTATTAAAGGAGAGAGAGAAAAACCCAACATCTTAAACTCTTCAGTTCTCTTTTTTCTGTTTAGTTTTGGAAAGAACTATCAAATGCATGCTTAGACTTGGCATATAGGAACAGTTTGAAGGCAAAAATAAATACCCACCAGAACATGCACAAACATTGGAACAATGGCAATATGTAGTCTACCCATATTAGTAAATGCTGTATGTACCAGCTATGATACATGTGGATTCCTATTGCAGTTCAACATAAAAAAATGTACATATTGCTAATATTTCACTGTAATGTAATTTTGTACAATGCATGCAGAAAAATGCTTGCAATTACCTGTAAATCCCATTTACGTGAGTTTAACTAACAAATACAATCACAGTTACAGATTTTAAAGAGAACAAAAGAAAATATTCAAAAAAAGTTAATATTGACCTATAATTTTTTAAGAGATCTTTGTTAATTGACTTTGGTCAATGTTAGTTTACAAAAAGCATTACTAGTTATACTATTTACATTTTTATTATTTAGCCCAAAAGGTAAAAACTGGGGGGGGGGAAAAGTAGCACAACCATCTTTGGAAAATTTGTGAAAAACAAAAATACAATAGTTTTAATACTTAAATATACATTAGTGTAATTCCTTTAAAAAGAGTTTTAAATTTGCATTTAAAAGAGTTTTAAATGCAAATGGCTTGTGGATTTACATATTGCATCAAATAAAGATTATATATTATTATTTATAATTGGAGTATGTGTTTAGATAGGTAGTATATACACAGTATAAGACATATGTTTGTTTTAAAAACGTAAGTATATTACATACGTCTTTCAACAGCATTTTTCAGGTGCACATTGTTTAAGTTTGCCAGTACATACAGTATTGCATTGGCTTCTGAAAGTCAAGAAAACATACAGAAATCTACAGTATCAAGATATTTGAGCCTGTCCGTATACAAAAGATTGTTTTAAAGTTATATACACTGACATACTTCTCTTTTGGAAAAAAGGAAAAATTAATGCAGTTAAGGGATTTTTTTTCATCACAAACTAAAGATGCAAAAATACACTTGTGACAAGCTTAGTTTGATTTTCCTAACTGCTAGAAAAATGCCTTTTCTGTCCATTTGTACTAGAGAGATTCAAAGGAATCACACTGATTTTGTTTTTCATTGTTGTTAATCTTGGACATAAGCCTATTCATGTGGTCCCATAGCACAGAGACCACAATAGAAGTCAAAGGAGCAGAGAACTGGTCTATTTGATGCAGGCAGGGATGTCTACTTTCTCTTGTATCTATAGGTGCCTATACATGTGCTCTGATGTGTTCTAATTAGATAATCAAGTCCGCTGGACCATTCCAATTAAAATGTTCCACTGTGCCTCCTCATTACATGGATTCAGCATCCCATATTTCAAAATGGTGGTGGGAGCACTTTAACTAAAACTTATCAAACAAGCTTTACTTAAACCACACCTGCAGCCTTTTTGAAATGTGGAGTGCTGAATACAGGTAATGCTATAGTGTTTTAATTACAGTAGCTGTCTGGGAGCCGCTCTAATTAAAATACCTCCTCCCCCATTCCAGAGCATGTGTATAGGCACCAGTATGTGCCTCAGTAACTACCACCTACAGGGGAATGGAGAGTCTCTTCTTAAACCTGAAAGGAGCTTACCTCCTCTAAGCAATAGATTAATTTTGTGCAAAATCAGTTCATGTGGGCTGTTAGGACTTGTGTGTTGCGGCTACATAAAAAGAGTACATATTTGTTCTGCTGAGTCCGTAGCTAACATTACAGCAGTATGATTTCATTGACTGCTAATATAAATACTCTTAGTTTATAGAGGTGCAATATCTGTAACAGACCTAGTGGGACTAGTTCCAGCATTATACCTTGCCACAGCTATGAAAAAATGGGAAGAAGATAAGCTAAACTGGCTGTGAACCACCCTGGGCTCTTTCATTAGTGTGAGATCAGGTAAGGCCAGTTCAACCCCTAGTATGATTTTAGAGTATTCCCAGGACAGAATATTTGTAAGTAGTATTGATCAGCTAAAATGACAGGAAGAACATCATAAAAATACTCTAAATAGCTCCTTTTCTGTTGAAGAACCATTGTTATCCAAGGTTTGTCCATCACTGTAATGAGATGGAAATGAATTATTAACTTTAGGAGACCAGAATATAAATTTTGAAAGAAAGTGTATAAATATTTTAATGAAATTATATATAAAGCTATACAGATGTAAAATAAAGTCCATTTCCAGATAACTTAGACCAGTATATGTGTTTATGCATCAGCATTTCATAACTCAGTTAACTCCTGGAATTTGCTGATGATTACAATCTGTGTTAAGCTGGTCCACATCATTGCTGAGAGAAGAGATAGTTCAAATGTATTACACATGACGTCAAGATGACGGTTTCTGTGGCTCTGGGTTTCCAAGTATGTACTCTAGGGTCTACAATTTCTAGTGGGGAACATCATATATTGTTTAACACTGCACTGAAATCCATTCTATCCTATTTGAGAATTTTGCGTGTCCATTTTCAAAAACAAATTCATGCTTAGCACATTATAATCTACTTTAGTGCCACAACTGCAAAATACACAAATAAGACACAGCATATTTCAATACAATATTATGCAATACAGTCACTTATCATTGTTCACAGCAAAATTCATCATGTATAAAGCAGTTACAACAAACTCATGAGCAGTCTACATTAAAACACTGGCCAAAACATTAAATCTAACTGACTATTAATCACCAATTCCAAAGGTTCATTAATGACTAATATTTCTCAGACACCAATACCTTTTACTTGCCATACCCAGAATGAACATAGGGAAGAGTGAATATGTATACAATTCTGCCTTCAGTAGGACTGAATAAATATCAAAACCATTTCTGCTGACTGGAAAATGTTTTATTAGGTCAGTTTCACCTAATCTTATTTTATTTTTTAAATTTGTTACCTAAGCCTGGAGATCTACATGGTGAATTGACACAGAACCCTGAATACATGCCTACAAAGCTATGATGCACTATATACTCATTTTGAAACTAACTTATTATTTAGCTGGTGAATAATGAAGTTACATAGTAGAATAGTGAATTTGCAGTTATGTCTGATATAAGTATTTTTTTCTGGACAAGAAAGTCTGGATATCGGAGACAAAAATGAAGCACTAATTCAGTCTATGACGTCATATAGTTTATTCTTGTTACCTAAAAGATTCTGCATGGTTATTTTTCCTTGCTGGGAGCCAATGCATTCTTATTTGTTACAAGGTGGAGAATCAATAACCAATAGTTTCCAAAATATAAACAACAATATTTCAATGTCAGCATAGTATTTGCTACTGTTCTGTGAATTAAATTTAACCAAATGGAAAAGTCTCATGAGGGTCATCATAATCTCTGGTGCTGAGACAGTTTGTGTCAATTCCTTGTGCTCATTGATGGTTCTGCTTAGCTTGTCAAGATTATTGCTGGTGACTGGCTGCTCAGAACCATTAATGCACAGGAAAAGTGGATTTAAAGAAAGAGTCACACCAGCACAGAATTAACATAAACCACCTAGATAAAAACTTCCAAAGAGTTATGATGTCCTTTCATGCCTACCAATGAACACATTTGGTTTAGGAAGATTAAATGAGAATGTGTCCCTCTTAGCAACATATATTCATCATATACTTTCCCTGGGGAAAAGATGTGTGTTCTAGTTAACTTGCCTTGACCAAGACAGCAACAAATTTTAGAGAACATTGATACTGTAGTTCATTTAGATTCAAGCAAAAGCCAAACCAAGACAATCATCATATCTGAAAGTGCAGCAAACCTTAAAACTAACATGCAATTTTTTCCTTTAAAACATTAATAAACATTTGTCCTTGCTAAAACTATTATATTCCTTCTTAAGTGTCCATGGAATTTAAAGATGAGACAGGACTACTATACTCCAAACCACCTACAATCAAAACACAAGTGGTCATTCCCCCAAGGGTCATGAAGAAAGGAGGGAAGAGGTGTGTTCATCATGACAAGCTCCTATTTTTTTTGTCGTTGTTGCTGCTGTTGTATCTTTCAGAACATTTCAAGTTGACGAAAATCATTAACAGGTGATTAAACAGATAAGGGTATTGCTATGACAGGGTATGCTATAACAACACATATGATTCAACAAAAACTGTAGTTTTATCAAAGCCCAGAATTTGGCAATAAATATAATGGGAAAATTTAGAAAGGGGCTAAAAATAGTATGCCAAAAAGCCCAGAAGGTATGACTTCAGAAAGAAAAAATGGAAACACTGCTGAAGCTATATAAAATGGTTTTGAACCCAATCTTTTTGTCCCTTCAGGGGGTTCTCTGTAGGCATGGACAGACAATTATATCACTTTATGGGGCATACATGAGCTGCTCCATTTAAACTGTTTCAGTCTGACTGCTCCTGTCCTTCAGTAAGTGAAACTTCATCAGTTAAACCTATAAATTATCCTGGTTTAATTTCCATTTGCTGAGGGATAGGATCAGACAGGCAAAATAACTGCAGGTATTGAGCTAAAGAACAGAGTCTCATGTACCCTCACACTTTTAACACAGTATCATTGTTCATTTTGTCCCTGCCCTGAGAATTATATTTGAAGGACCTTAATCATCAGTGGAATATAGCAGACATTCAGTGTGTTTTCAAGACTACTTTCATTAGCAGAATGAAAAGAACAAACTTTATAAAGTCTTCATGAAGAAAGAACATGAATGTGGAAGTTGATGGCAAACAACGTAAGTGTAGTCAATATAAAGAGGAACCCACCTTCACGGCCAATAACAGATCTTGAGGCTGTCTGAAAGCTAATAACTCCAGCTACATTGTCATTGGCCAGAATAATCAGAGTGACACTGTCAGAACTGGGCAGAATACGGCTGCCTCCTTCAGTATAGGTCAGGCTGATTATAATACTTTCATTATCTTCTGGCTCTGGGTCATCTAAAATAGTCAACGTGACCATTTTTTTAGTTTCACCTATGAAAAAGAAATAGGAAAATACCTATATAAGTCATCATAAGTCATATGCACTTTCAGAAATGGAAGGAAAATATAAGTAATTTGTCAAATTTATATTTTTATTATCCTTTTTACAGTTGAGTGTATGTTACTGAATATAATTATGCAATTATATATCATTCCAACACAACTACTAAACCTATTGTGTAACAGCCTTAAAAGTCTGAATAATTCATTTTCAAATGCCAGAATTCTTTGTGCATTCACATTTGCAACACCCTTCTAACTACATTTAGAAGAAGAATAAAGTTTTAGCGTAAAAGAAAACAATAATGCACATGATTTTTCTAATGAACGTGTATGAACAGACTGGCATGCTCATATGCCCATAATTCTATATATATATTATATTTACCGAGCTTAAGAGTTTGTATAGTATCTCATAATTCTATAACCCTTTCATGTGCATTTCCTACCTACCTTGCTGACTTATCCATTGAAATTAATATAACTATTAAACAATATCAAATTATCTGGTTGCCAAAAGTGACCCCTAAAATCTCCAGTTTAGTCTTACTGTTCATAGCACATGAAATACCTAAATACATCTTACAATTATGTACTTGCATGTTTACAAAACACACAGGTGTTTCCTACTATATCATTACCTGGCACTTAAATATAATTAACTAACATAGTTGACTTAGTAGAAGTGTACAGCATCCGCTCACCAATGGCTTTTCAAAATGTAGGGTGCATCTGTACCATGGAGTATTGTACTTTGCAATTGGACAGCAACTAAGTTGTGTTATTCAATGTTGTAAGTTTACTTGGTGTATTTAAAAATTAATAAAATAAATAAATAAAAGAGATTCTGTCATTTCAAAAGCCTTGCTAGTTGGGAGAAAGGAAAGGCAGCCATCCGAAAGATTTGGTGTTTTGTTTTGTTTTTATTGCTGCACAAGAGGCTCAGAGTACTTTGGATCTCCTCTTATTTATACCTAATGACTGCAATGACATCATTCCTGATGTACATCAATGTAAAGGAGATAGGAACCAGGGTTTGTTTTTTTTTAATATATATATAACATGCAGTACAACATGCCTGAAAGGAGCTACTTTTTAATGGACTTTAACATTACATTTAGAAACATTTGTAGGGGATAGCAGATATTGAGGACCAGACAGAAGAACTACAAGAAAACACTACAGGTCTGTTTACAGTATCAAAAGACAGGAGAGGAGCCTGGTGGTGGAGCACAGCGTACCTACTCCATTACATTCCAAAATGTATATAATGTAGTTGCCATGGCATAGTGCTAGGCATGTGCCAATAAGTATGCCAGAATGAAATTTTCAAAGCATGGCCCATTTTAGGATGTTGTGCATGTGGAGGGGTGTGCCAGGTCTCTGTCTGCTCTGTCAAATTGTCAGTTGATACTGAAGCCACTTTAGTGTGTCATTCTTTGACAGACCTGACATCCCCCTTATGCTTCAGAATGCATGCCTAACACACTGGCCAATGAATAAGACAATGTCCTTTTTTTTTCTAGAAGTCTAGGAGTTAGTCTGCTTATCTAGTGCTCTCTGCCTGTCACTATTTTGGCAGAACAAAAATGAATGTAAACTTTACCTCACCTTCAGCAAACACCAGAATTTCACCATCACCTATAAAATCCATGTATGGAGTAGCTGTTCCACCAGTTACTCGCCATTCCACTGTCACCTGCCCCATGCTGCCTTCTGTTCTGTGTATCATTAACTGCACATCAGTCTGAAGTCGTTCTTCCACTTCCAAATAGAGACCTTCTTCTGTTGCATTGGGACTTATACTGTAGATCATAAACACTCCAAAGGCATCTCCATTCATCATTATGACAACTGTGGAGGTATTTGGCTGTCCTATAGTTGGCTGGTTTTTTAAGATGGCTGAGATGTTCATCAGTTCAACTTTCAAAAGGGATATAATGAATTTCTCATCCAACTCTGGCAAGCTATCAGGAAGTATGGTAACTGTGAGATTTGCAAACTCTTCACCTTCTGACATTATGGCCCATTGCCTTGTAACTGATTCGTAGTCACTACCAGCAATGGCTTGTGCGCTAAAAACAAAAGATACACTGGTGACATTTTTCTTGTAGGTCCAGAATCCCGAGTTGTTGTTTACTGGACTTATCCATGATGTCAGCCAGAAGCACAAAGGAATTCCAGAGGCACTAGAAAATGTAAAGGCTGAACATGCTTGTTCTTTTAGGCACCGAGTGGCACAGGTATATAATGGATCACCTGCTGCTGACACATTCACTCTAGTCTTTGATGGCTGGTCAGGAATTCCTTGCACAGGATTTTCGTAATAGGTAAGTACATCCTGGCCTTCTTCCATTGCAAGAGCTACAACATCAATCTCAGAAGTGCTGTAGAATATCTGAAGCTGACCAAATCTTCCCCCGCTAGAAGGTGTTGCAATAAATGAGAAAAGTCATGGTAATTAGTCAAGACTTATTTTTCCTTATATGCTATAGGTCTCTTCGTTAGTTTCAGATAATCTATGCTCCAGGAAATGCACTCTAAGCTGTGCTGGCGAAATATCTCTTTCCTAGGGTGTTCACAGAGGTACTGGTCTTCTTCCTCTATACCTCCCCCACTTTTTAGAAATCCAAAGCGATGGTTGGAGAATGCACTTTGTCTCTCTGTTCAACTTCATAAAATAACTCTAAATGATTTTAGGAACAAACAAAAAACCAAAGCCTAGCAGACATATGAATTTTACCCTGGGAGAAGATTAGCCTGATAAACTGACAAGTTAAACTACCCAAGGAAGGAGTCAAACTAAATCATTTAAAAAGACAAAGTTCATAGAGATTAAAAAAAAAAAGGGACTGGAACTAGTTACATAAAAACCCCAACTGTGCTATACAGACCTTCTTTGAACAGTTATGTTTGCAAGAGAACTTCTTTCCAACGGCTCCTGAAATCTATACAAGGGGTGCTGAAAGAACACTGTGCCATAAGGATTATCATTGGCAGGTATTATAATATTTGCCACTCTATCTGATCCAATAGCACCACTGTTGGAAGCCCGAGTTAATTCCACATGGATAATCTGAAAAAAACCCAACACATTTAGACTTTCCTTAACCATGTTTTTTGTGAAATGACAATTCAAGAGGAAGGGTCAGGTTTGAACTCTCCCCTCCCACTGGCAATCAGATTCGTTGCTTAAGTAGTCCTACTGACTTTAATGAGTGCTCTACTAAAGGGAAGAAGGGGTTTATGGTCTGTCCTTTAGCTGAAAACACTTCAGAAATAACAAAGTGAATTAAAAAAACCTGATTAGTTTAATCATTAATTTTAAATAATGATTTGGAATAGTCAGTTTCCAAACCAAATAAAAGCCTCTCTTCATCCTCTGCATTACTTTCATCCCCCATTTTTAATACTGAAAAAAATCTCTCTCAAGACAGTGAATAGGAAGATTCAGTTGAACTCAAAATTATCACAGAATAGGAAATCATTTCAAAACTCTATTTTCAGTCAGAGGTAAAATATAAATAACCAAAGAAACAGGTCTACATTTAATTTCAATTTTTTTTTTTGCTACACTGCATGATTGTTAACTACAATATGATGAAAAAAATATTTTAGCCAACCCTTCCCCACCTCACATCTTCCACATAAAATTAGAGGGTTAAAGGTGGGTCTGATACACTACTACTGGATCAGTCAGACATATTGCATCCGATTCACTAATCAACAGAGGACCCATTTATTGAAGTCATTATTTTGCTTGAGCCTTCTGATTTTTTTTAAAACATTTCTGTTTGTTTAAATAGATACATTCCATTCAGTTCAGTTTAGCTGAGTTTATGGAGGATACTGGCTGAAACCCATGCTCATGTGGAAACAACATGAAAACACACAACTATAATATAACTAAATATAGGCAAAAATAACAGAAATACAAATATAATAATAAAATAGAGCCAATCATTATAAAAACATTATTAGTATAAATATAGTAATAAATCAAATCATGAATCTATGGAGATATTGTACATAGATCCACAATTGGCACAGTAAAATCAGATAGTGTTACAATGTATCAATCATATCAACAGTAAAGGATGTTTAACTCTAATTGCTTCAGCCTTATAAACAAAAATTGCAAGACAGTTTACTAAATATGGATCTGTTTGCTAAAAGAGCCAGTTTAGTTTCTCTCTTTTTGAAAAGTGTATCAATTTCTGCAAGAATGGTGATAAATAGGTTCTCCCTATGTTGTTATATAAAGAACATTCTAAAACATAATGAATAGGGTCTTCCAAAACTCCTAGACATGCAACATCTTTTAGCCCTTGGAATGGAAAGTCTATGTCCAGCCAAAACAGCTGTAAGCATCTGTTTGGTCCTAAGTCTAGTCAAAAGAGGATTACCATTTATTGTTGAGATCCAGCTGTAAATACTTTTCTCCCCGACTCCCAATCTAATTTCCAAAGAGTATATCGAGGGGCAATACAAGTAGCCCTAGCCACTGCAAAATCATTCTGCCTGGCAATATCTCATAACCTCTAAAAAACCCAAACTTTTTCTATTGGGGAGAAAAATCTTTCATCATCTTTGACATAGTATCCCACCTCAGAAAGTGCAAAAGTACAGAAAAAAAAAGCTAACCAGGCAGATAGAAGAGAAGAGAGATTACTGATGTCTTCTACATAGCACAATTTAAGCAGATGAGATGGTAGAAAAGCCAGGATTTTGAAACAAAATCCCACCATTCTAATAATAATAATAATAGTTATTATAATATTAGTTAAAATAGAATCTAATCCTGTCTCTAATCTCAAAAAAGATGCAGGAGTTGAAGGAGGAAGAACCAGAAGAGCCCTAAGAAATTTGTTCTGAGGTATGTCCACATCATTACTGGTGGCATAACCCTATACTTCAGTGCCATATGGAATCTGAGACACAGCTTTGGCTTTATATGCTGACGTAGGAACTTGGACTGATCGTCCTGCTGTGATCTCATAAAATTTCTTTATAGCTACAGCCAATTGGGCTGCTTTAGTTTTATAATTTTAACTGACTGAATATGGTGTTAACAAACTGGAGTTTGGTTCCCCCCATGTTCCATGGGTTTTTCATCAAACGGCTTCCCCAATACATTATTTGGGATTTATCATAATTTATCTTTAAGTTGTTTTGTCCATAAAGATACTCAAAAGTTGTAATTGCTCTCTGTAGTCCAACAGGAGTTCTTGACAGCATAATGGTATCATCTGCATATATTAAAATAGGAACTGGAGTTGCTAATAATTTTGGGGGATGGAAATGAGCATCCTGCATATTGCTGATAATGTCATTCATGTAAAGATTAAATAACAAAGAGGCCAAGATACATCCTCATCTAACCCCTTTTTGTACCTGAAATGTTTGTGTGAGTTTGCCCCTCAAGCCTCACCTAACTTGTGTGCATGTATCTTTATAATAGTCTATCAGCAGGTGCAAACAAAAAGGGTCAATCCCACAGATACCTTCAAAGTTCTGGTTACCTTTTCAAAGACTAATATCAATAACTAGGAAACAAAATTCTGGAAGAAGCTATAAATGATTTTCAGATTTATAAAAACTATTTGCAGGCTGATTTCCTTTCAAGTTGTTTAAAGTTACCTCCCTTTTTCTGCTTCTTATCCACCACCACAATAAAACAGAGCTGCTTGGCATTTTGTCACATCATGTAGCATTCAGCTATTCAACTCACCTCTTCAATTTCTGGAACATCATCATCCAAGATCTCCAACAACAGTGTCTGAACAGTTTCCCCAGGGGCAAAGCTAATGTTACCCGAGACAACCCGCAAGTCACCAGCTGCAAGTTGTCCATTTATGGTAGCAACCCACTCTACAGTAACATTGCCAAGTGTCCCAGCATTGCGTATTATTGGCAGGCTTACTGTCACCGAATTGAATTCGGGCTCTTCCACTGTGAGTTCAGTGATCTGAAAAACTGAAGTATAAAACAAAGACATTTATTTTCTTTTTATCGGAATAGGGGAACACATAGTGTTCGTTCATTTAACTGAAACACCTTTCAAAACAAGCACTTTGCAGACTTGTACTGATTTAATCAAGTCATTGTTTGCAATTACTAGCTGTGAAATTGAGATGCTAGTACTACCAACTAATTCACAGGGCAAGAAGATGGCATAAATACTGTTAGAGATCACCAGGAATCTTTTACTCCTGAGTATTATATCTCTCTAAAGTCTGGAGAAGAAGATTATAAAAGCTGTTTCTTGTTATTCTTCCCCAAAAGAATATTAGAATCAGCTGTTGTCAGGTAAAACCAATTAACGTTTTCCATATCTGACACTATTTCTTTTAAGAAAAGCCTTTCTGGAAATTGAAGACTTTTAGTGTCTTTTCCCTAGCTTTAGTAAAAAAAATTGAAAGCAAAATATTTTATTAATTTTATTTCCCCGACCCCATTGCTCCTTTATCCATACCTTCTTCTTTTTTCTGCAGATAAAATGGAAACAGGAATAGAGAAGAAAATGTTTTTAAAAAAGAGAAAGGAAGAGAAAAAGGATAAAGAGAAAAATCTAAGAGCCAAAAAAATACAAACTCAAGTATGTTCTTAAACCACAAGCTTACCAGTGCAAATTGCTACAGGTGCACCAATATATCAGTTGCTTATTAGCAATACTATCAGCTTTTTTTGGCAGTTGTAGCCAATAATGTTTACTAATAATTATGCCTTCTGCCCAGGGCCCTGGACACCCGGGTCCCCTCTCCCCTGCAGGGCCGGGATCCCTGGGTTCCCTCAGGAAGCGCAAGGTTTTCCCTTGTAGGCGGGCAGTATTCTAGCCTACAAGGGGTCCTGCTTGGGACTGCCGGGAGCAAGATGCAGGGGGCACCACATGCAAACATGCATGTGGCCAGGAATACAATGTGGAGAGCAGCTTCCTGCAGGTAAATCTATGGAGGGGAAGGGGTTTGGGGGGTAGGAGGGCAGATGGAGGTCCCCCCAGTGCAGAAGGAAGTGGAGCAGGGGCAGGGCTGTGCATGGGGCTGGGCAGGGAGCAGGATGGAGCTATGGGTGGGTCATCCAGGGAATGGGGGGGTGGGGGGGAGAGCAGCTCCCCACTATTGCACACACCCATCAGGGAGGCATGGGGGCGAATGTGCCCCCCCAGATTTGTGCATGGAGTGCATGTTCACTCCCCACTCTGCTGCCTTTCCCTCAGGAGCCCCATGCAAGCTATGTATCCCTGCCCACCCAGCAGTAGTAGGGGTGGCAAGCTGTGCACCCCGTTGCCAAATAGGCAGGGTGGCACAGCCAGCATGGGGCTTCCAGGGCAAAGACAGCAGGGCGGACAGCCTTGAGCCTGCAGCAGGCAACCCACATCCGCCTTCAGCCCACTAGGCTCTGCACTGCTTCAAAGTGTCCCCGCATTTAAAAATGGTGGCAGCAGCACTTGAACTAAAGCTCATTTGATGAGTTTTAGTTCAAGCACTCCCACTGCCATTTTTAAGTGCTGGGACACTGATACATGTGACGCAGGAGGCTTCTGGAGTGCACCAAAAAAAAAAGGGGGGGGTGGCGGAACCGGTATATTTGTGTCAGTTCTTTAAAATACTTTGCATTTTAAAATAAATCATGTATCGGATTGGCATTACCTGATATGGTTGGTTAATAATTGGCTATATGTATCAGCCAAGAAAATCTTTATTGGTGCACATCTACACATTGCCAAGAAAATTTTAAAACAAACTCAAAAGGTTACTTTTCAAAAGCTCTGCAATAGAAGTTACTTTGGAAATTTTTCATAATTTTTGCCTTACATTACTCAAATGGTTTGATTTATGATTACAAGGAGAAAAAACAAGATTAACCAATCAATGGAAAATAGTAGCATGCCATTTTTACTCAAGTTTTTCAGTTTCTCCAGATCTTTAAATACGCTGTTGGCTTATTCACTAATAATGTAGATAGGATACAAGGTTTAGGGGATTGATAATGGTACAAAAAAAATTTCACTTCAGATTACTGCTTAAAATCTATCCCTGGTTTGTAACGAATAGAAATGATTAAAAAAAAAAAATCAGAATTCCTAAATTTTGCCCCACAGGAACTGAAATTTGTTTTCATTCAAAACAAAATATTGAAATACTAGGTGAATAACGAGTACAGAAATTTTCAGATTTGGTTATATCAGAATATTTTCATTTTTCCTTGATTGCAATGTTGCAGTTTGTTTAGAATCCTACAAACATAGCAGTGGAAATAACGTTAAGGATCATCTACCATGACTTCCTGCACAAGTGTAGAATGCACTGATCCTGAAACATCCCAGACAGTTTTCTATCCAACCCCTGCTTGAAAGCCTCTCATGAAAGAGAAGACACAACTTGCTTAGACAGCCCATTCCTTGGTCCTACTGTTGGAACATTGAGGAAGCTTTCTCCCAAGATTTGATCTAACTCTGCTTTATTTGTTTCAACACCTTCAACGTTCACCTGGGCTGTCATACCACCTTCTGGGTGACATAATTCAGGTTTTCAAGCTCCCATTCTGTTTATGGAGCTGGTTCTCTGGTTGGATTATAGCTCCCTCATTTAACTGTGGTGGCTCTGCTAGAGGGGAGTCCATGGTGCATCAGGGGAAAAGGAGTCCAGCCAAGCTGTGCCTAAACATCTATGTTAAAGATAAGAAAATCGAGAACATTCAAACCAGTTCAGTTTACCAAAACATCCAAATGGGTCATCAGAAGCCTCAATGATTATGATGGCCTGAATTAATGCTCCAAGCAAGGCTCCTCCTGTAGTCTGATTCAGCAGCTGCACTTGAAAGGACTCTTCCGTCTCAGGGTAGATATCATTAATTATATAAATTGGCACAGCCTTACTGGTTTCCCCTTCTAGTAAGACAACATCTGATGAGGCTACACTGTAGTCTTCACCTGTAAAAAGAAAAACCCTCTGGTTACTACAGGAAATGTTTGAATACAAGTTTAACATTAAGGATCTATCTTTCTTGCCTGCTTATGGATACAGGTATCTCTTTTTCCCCCATTTCCATCCCCACCGAATATGGTCTCTAATTTCATAGTGGAATGTGGAGATTGAGAGTTGGACTGAAATGGTAAAGGCTCAAAATGGACTAGCTGGAGATTGACCTGATGGACAGGAAAAAGGAGTTGGAGAAGGTGGTAGGTGTGTTGTCTACCCACTCACAGAATGCAGCATACCTGCTCTATTAAGTTGGAGTGGTGCTTGGATACGGAATTACTCCTAGATTTCCAGATAGTATCAGTTAGTGGAAGCACCTTTATCCAAGTAAATTTAGCTAAATGACTGCAATAATTGCAAACGAACCTCACTTGTGTATGTCTCTGTGGATTCCCAGCTGGATCCACACAGTTCATTTTACATGAATCTCCTCTGAAAGCCACTCAGAAATATAATCTAGCATCTACAATCAAGCTGCTTGGTTATTTTGTAATGTAAACTATATGTGAAACTTAAAATACTGATTGTACAGCATTTGTACCATCTTCCTATTCCCTTCTGTGCATATAATTCAAGGTATTGAGTTTGATATATGTTACCCAATACTTTGAATTCCATATAAATGAGACTGCCCCTCTTTCCTCAGTGTATCTTTGTCATAGCAGAGTCCAGCTGGGCAAATTTTGCTATCAATTCATAAAAATTGAAGTGAATGATTTGGTAACAGTGTTTTTAACAGGGTGCCATTATCTCTAATTTCCTTATCTCACCAGTTTATCAAGGCCTGCACATGCTTCTGTACATAGTGTAACGTTTGAATATATAATACTATTATGCTGCTAGAGAAGCCAATTTTATGTAAATGGTAACAGGACTTAAAGAAAGTAAGACAGCACCCAGTACCTGGACACATTCTGTCTGCAAAGGCTGTAGTACTTTTAATAAAATAGTGTCATCTCCTCCCTGAGCAGATACCAGAGAAAAAGGAGCTTTTTTAAGTTACCTAATGTTACTTTGCATGACTGTGCTGTGACTTCCACATTTTGTACTATGATAACACAAACCTCAGAATGATGGCTGACCTTGCTGGAGATGACAAACACTTCTTACTACACTTCTTCCACTAACCAATACCTACTATAGCTGCTCAAAACCAGCTAGAATCCTAGTTAGCATCCTAAGTGAGACTACAATAAGGAGATATTTGAGGATATCTTAAGATTTGGTGCAATTTTGTTAGTGCGTGTTTCATCATTGTTTTACATGTTTGTATGCATTTATTTTTCATTTTACATATTTAAAAAAAAATTTATAAATTATACAGTAAGTGATAATGTTGCAAACCCTGCTCTCCCTGCACATTTATATAGCACAGTGTAGTATAAGCAGCAGCTGTGAGCAAATATCATGCCATCACGATAACTAGTTATTTCTTTAATATGTTTAAATTAATCACATATTCCTGACTGTTCAACTTCTGAAATATTCTTTACAAAAATATTAATAGAACACTTATATATAGAGAATGCAGCCTTGCTATTACTTAAGTGACAGTCAATTTAAAGAACAGAATTCGCCTGGAAATATTTTCCCTATTATTTGCTGCAAGTAAAATTGAAGATATTTTTATTAAAAGAGTACACAAAACATTTCTTCAAATTTTCAATGTACTTACTTTTGTGGATTTTGTTTAATGCAATTTAAGTTATGAAGATGCATTTATCTATTGCAAGGTTTGCTTGCTTGTTTTTGGGGTTTTTTTTACAGGTTTTCTACAACTAGAAAAATGTGGATACACACAAAAAAATTCCACAGGTCTGTAACTTGAAGCTGTTTTTAACTGATCAAACTCCAAGGAGGACAATACCCTTAATTAAACAGGTATATTTTACTGCTATTTATGTATGCCTTATATCTCTAAGCGGTATCTTTAATACTTGGTGTAAGCTCAAATGATAATTATTGTGATTGGCATACTGCACAGGATGTAAATCCTCTAAAGCTAAACCCTGCCAGTAAATGTCTCATTGCTCCTTTTGATTTCTTCTTGTTAGAATGTATACAAAATGCATTTGTTGCCATTAATCAATTTGTTTGTCAGCATTAATCAAAGTCTCCAGTAAATTCATTTAAATTTGACATAGCATGTGCATTTTTGCAATTCTCTTTTATTACCAGCTATTGCAGTTATTGGCACAGCTTTAAATTTCACAGAAACATCTGCAAAAATTCCTCCAGTCCTGGTCACGTTGATGATTGGTCCAACATAATTTTCAGCAACTCGCACAATTGAAGCTGAAAGCTGAAGTGTTCCAAAAGCATCATCATTGGCATTGATAATTACTTGAGCTATTGTTTCACCCTTAGGTCCCAGGCGGGGAGAATTCTCAACTGAAATGCAACAGGGCCTTGGTTAGCGGCATCTTGGACCTTAAGTCTTGTTAAAAACACCAATTTTTATTAGACAAAGTAGGTTTAATGGTCTATTATCAGCTAATCAACAAAACTAACATACTAAAAATATACAAAGTTAGACAGACAGTATATTTCACAACAGTACCCAGTAAGTCTTTTTGTAACCATTGAAATTAGATTGAATTAGATTAGGTAGATTGAAATTACAGTATGGCAGAAATTCCTGAGTTGTACAGTTTAATATTTTTCTGTAGATGCTTTTCATCGTAGCTTCTGAAGCAGTATATTTGAGCATTCTATTTTTCAAACAGGTGGGACAGTGCCAAATCATAATCAATAGTTATTTATTCATTTGTCCGTAGGGCCAGTAGCAAGAGCACTACAGTTTCAATTAGAGTATTATTTTGGTAATTCCTATGATGAAATATACATGATGGCATAATCTCCCCCCAGAATGATATTTGAAGCTTTCCTGATTATCAAGAATAAGCAAGAGAGGTAATTTGGCAGGGTTGGAAGCTCTGAAGTGCAAATCAGCCTGAAACCTCCCAAATGTGACTGAATGGCTGATCAGCATGCATTTTCTATATTAAAACAAAACATGCAGAAGTTCAGAAAGTAGTGAGTGAAGTACCACCAAGTATTTAGCTCTCAATATTAATACTGTCTATTAATCACTGTTTCATGATGCTATGTATGCTTGTAAAAAACACAAACCAAAAACAAACAACAACCCAAAGTATAGATCAACAGATCCTACTGGGCAGAGCTGACCTGGTCTCATGTATGACAAGAGATGGTTCAGTTAAAGGAATATATAAAGGACACGGAAACATAATTATGTTATATTCAGTGAAAACTGACAAAGCAGCATATTGATGAAATGATACACTGCCAGTGCACCAAATGTAATACACAAAACTTTTAGACTTTTTTGAATAGCAAAACAAACTGATTTGACTGGTTACAATTTATAGTGGTAGGTGACAGTCTCTCTAAAATGTATATTATTAGAGTGTAAAGTACTTACTTGGCCGATCCTGTACTTTTTCCACCAAAGTGACATCAAATAGCTCTACAAATACTGATTCTGACCTTTCTGGATCCTCATCATCCAAAATAGGAAGCAGTATGGTAGCTTCGCTTTTATTTGCCATGAAGATCACAGATCCAGAAATGGGTAAATAATCTTTTCCTTCTGTTGCTCTGGCAACATTTGAGGGCAGAAAAGGTGACTTTTCATCATCATCCATGGTTCTGTATGCTATCATAACTGTACCGAGAAGACCGTGTAACCTTACTATTGTTAGGGTAATGTTTTTGGTTTCCTCCTCAACTTTGATTGGTCTGTTTTTCCCAGAAAAGATAAAAAGTCCATATGGATCATCATTAGCCAGGACAGTTAATGTAGCATTAGTATGATTTCCAAGATGACCATTGGAAACATTCATGAGCAAAACAAAAAACATCTTATCAAGTTCAGGAACTTCATCAGGTGCAACTTGCACTGTTATATGTGCTCTTCTTTGTCCAATATCAAAAATTATGTTGCCATAGGTAGAAATTAGGTCTTCATCAGGATCGCAGAATATGATCCAATGCAATGTAACCTGGGATAAGGCCCCATGCTTTCTGAGAACCTGAAGTGGAAAATAAAAGTAGTAAATAACTGGCTACAGACAGAAAGAAAAACATGTTTCGCATGCATACATATCCATTCTTAGTCTAGTAACTTTTATACAATTCAAGGCACAACTGGAACGTGAAGAAATTAAATGAGTACCTCTTGCTAACCCATAACTTTACTTCCTCAACTCTAATTTATTCTCTGCCTTCTGCACTGTCACTCTTCTTTTAATGTTTATTTAAAAATACACCATATTTAGTGAAATACAATTCAGCATGAGTGGGAGCCCCTAATCTTATATCTGCATACAAAGAAACCTCATTAAATATGTTGCCTATCACTAAACTGCTGCCACAAGCAGCATGTACTCATGACTATAAACACATGGCCCATATCAGGCAAACATACTGATGGTAACTTTGGGGTTTTTTTGGCCCTTAAAATAAAAACAGCTGGGTGTTCCCACCACAGGGAACTCGCACCAGGCCTGGAAGTACTGCAATACTAGGCCAGCATTGGGAAGACCAGAGCCAGCCTTAACACCCTCCCCTTGGTGCCGAAAATTGCTACATTTGACAGGCTGGTGGGACTTTAAAAAAAAAAAAAAAAAATGGAAAATTTTTCATGTCCCAAGTCAAATTAGCCAGATCAAGTCCAAACCCATTTGAATCATCCAAGAACTATACGTGGCCCTGATACTGACAAGTATCCTCCACCCCAGCCTGGGGTTTCAGATACTTCCAAATCCTTTGGCAAGCATCCTACATGTAGGCCCAGGCCCGGAAACTGGAGTTCAGATGCCCCTGAGTTTTGCTTGCCTTCAACTATACGGCAGCACAGGCAAGCAAGAGAGAAATCTCCCATTTCCATAAAGTCGGCATCTAGCCAAGATCATCCCACTAGAAGCTGGCCAGCAGGAAGCTAACTATGAGGCTCTCACAGGGAGTCCTGTCTGTAAGCAAACAAGGGTGCAACCTCCACTACACAGTGCCATTTTAATTGCATTACCTTGACCAGGGTATTTCCCCTGCCACCATCGCAGTCATGATGGGAACCTATCACAAGGATGGATTAGTGCAGACTGAGTAAGACATATGGTAGTGCCTATTGCATTCAGTCCCCCTCAGCACTGACTTTTTAAATTGACAGTGAGCCACTATACCAAATACATATTAACTTCCTCTTCACTCCCACAGCTGAGTTATTTTTTTTATTTCACAGTTCCAATGATTCCTGTTTCTTTACCAGCCTTACATATCTGGCAAATAATCACCAAATCTGGCCCCAAAAAGGTCACCCAGAATCCTGGTCACCCCCTCTCTCAGCCTGGCACATATGATTACTTTGACCCTGCCTTCTATAAGGTAGATGGAGCTGAACCAGGTTGCTCTGTGCCTCACCTGCATATACATTTTTGAAGTATCCCAGGACTTGTGAAAAGAACACCTGGTTCTAGCCATGAGTAGGGGGCTAGTAAGCACATGGATCCTTTGTGGGTGGAGGGAAAGAGGGGAGAGTATCTGAAATACACACACATACTGAGCAGTGCTGAGCTGTAGGGTCACCATGGCTTGAATTTGCTGTTGACTCTGTTGGGTCCTGGCCCAATGACCTACATGGTAAATCACGAGCCTTTTGGCTTCAGACTAATATCACATATAGTTTGTACTATATGGGCACCTCCAGATGTGCAGGGACATTTGATTCCCCAGGGACCAGAAGCTGTGGTGCGCCTTCCACTGCCACTTCCTGTCCCTGGGGAAAGCCCATGCCATGTGGCAAGTTACCTCAGATGGAGTAGGGAAGGTTGGGCCCCAGCAGACTTATCTGGAGTCCTGGGGCCTCCCAGGACTGCAGCCATGGCAATTCTGCCACACAGAGCCTGGCTGGCAGCAAAGCGCAGCTCTCGGTAGGCCAGCTCTGCTTTTCAACAGTGCACGCTAGCCAAATGTGTGTTGCTCAATTTTTTTTCTCCCTTTAGTTTTTTTTGACCCCTGGATATCCAGGGATAAAAAAAACCTGCAAAAGAAAAAACAACTCAATGTGCACTCTCGGGTTCTCCACGCTTGCAGTGCGGAAAACACCAGACTGTGCACTACGTGGCACTGCAAATGCGACTGCATCACCACATACTGCGCAACTGCACTCATCTGCATGTGCCCTCTGTAAATAGGTAAAGAAGTGCTGTTTAAAAGTGTGTTTATGGGATACCCGTGCTAAAACTTGCAGCAGTTTCAAAAAAGTTAAAACACAAAAGGTAAATCTATGGGTACCTGTACTAACTTGCCTAGGAGAGCAGGGTCTGACAGTAAGAAGAAGGAGAAGGGGCTGCAGAGGGCAGAAGTTAGGGGGGAGGGAAAGAGGACTACCTGACCCCAAAATTTATTCTCCCTGCTGTAGCAATTGGAGAGGGACAAATTATATTTAAATCTCAAATAATAAGATTCTATACCTGGAAAGTTATAACAAAACTATCAATTTGCCATATATAGAATCTAGTTACCGGGGAGAGGTGACATTGTATGCAGGGTCATCTTATATTGGAGTAAATATGTTAGTTTGTAGTATCATTATTTTTTAAATAAAAAGATTAGTAGCTAAAATTTAAGTAAAAGTGGATATTTTAAAATGCTCAATTAAAGGTCATTAGAAATTATGTACATTATATATTACCTATAGATCTGATGTGATTTCATTTAAAGAGTATTTTTCCCAGTGTATAAGCTGAGTATACTGAAAACTGTAGTTTATGTAGATTTCAGTCACAAATGTATAAGCTTATAATTCAGTCCCTTGGAAAGTCTATATGAGACAGTGATCAAAGATTATCATGTAGCAACAGAGGACAATCAAAATCTACTCACTTGTAGCACAACTGTGCTCTCTCCATCTTCGGGTTCTGTTCCATTGACAAAAAGTGACTCAGTGCTGAACTCAAACACACCATGAGCATCATCAGAGGCTTCAATGGTTACAATGATGTGGGACGCTATTCCTAAGCTGGCTATAGATACACATTCCAAGAGAGTTAAATTATTTTTTCTCCATCTTTAGGTCATAGCAGTGAAACACTTATTTTTAGTTCACTACATTATATTAAAACAATTATAGATTTGCGAAGGTATAACTAGTATTTTTTTCAACATCGAGGATCCAGCAAGAGGTAATTTCTATACTCAAGTAATTTATGTTCATAGAATTTTCTCTGTTCTACAGCAGAACTGGGGACAAAGGGTGGAGAAAGAAATGCAGACCCACAAATCCCAGTGCTGGGGCTGTCATTACAGCTTATATCACCTGAGGGTCAAGCATAACAGTTTGGCACTTAAAAAACAAGTTCCAAAGTTAGAATGAAAAAAAATCATTCCTGAATACACCATAAAGGTAAGCTTTGGCTTGTGAAACCTTATGCTATATATATCTATATAGATCTCTACATAGATCTCTATAGAGATCTATATCTATAGATATAAACTAACTTATAACGTATAGACTAATTCTAGCCAACTAAACTAATACATCTGACTTGTGTATATGTCAGACAGATTTGTAACTTATAAACTAATTACATCTAACTAAACTAATATGTCTTGTATTGTTCCTTTCTACAGTCTCATAAATACACACTTTCCCAAACACACCTGGATGTGAGGGTAAAATTCATAACCAGTGATTAATAAAGTGGTTTGGATTGGGCAGTTCATTTTGGTTCAGACACTTATCTAAATTTCTTGGGACTGCAGAACTGCGCTGCAATTCTCATCGGAACAGGGTTTCTGCCTGTCAACTTTTACACAGATTGGATGCTTTCTAAGGTTACACCACCCTTATTTATTGCACTTTAACCCTTCTGCTTCCATCCAATCTTAGAAATGCAAACAGAATGAAAAATAAATGTTTATTTGGATTCTCAGTTTGATTTTTTTTTTAAAGTCTAACATCCAAACCAACCACCTCTCTCTAGAGCTATTTTTGACCAACAGAAGTACCAGTCAGACAAGTGTCATGTATTAAATCATGGTGATTTTAATTACTTATGACAAGTATTTTCCTATACTGCTTTGAGGGAAATTGTGGCTATTTTCAAACCAATCTTTCAAGCTAAAGCTAAATTTAGAGAGAAACAAATAAAGGGTTAAGGCTACAACCCTAACTATATAAAAATTACTGTTTTCTACAAAAGAATTAATGATTGCTACTGAAATCCTGCTCAAGTCAAAATACAAAAGGCATATTTTCAGATAATTCAATGATAAGAAATCTAGGTGAGTCATCTATACTAGAAGTAAGAAATCACAGTGCTGGTTGGTTTAGTTATAGCTACCTATACATGAGGAATTACAGTAATCAATTAAAAGGCAAAGGATAGGCCAAGCTTCTTACCATGCTGATGGACAGCTGGAAGGAAGAACTCCATGTCCCCATCACCACTACCACTGCCATCATTTCTAAAGAGTTCAGCAACTTCAAGATGACAGACAGAGACACACAATACACATATATACATTTATAAACACAAAAAGGCAGATAGTATTTAAACATTTCTGGACAAAAGGGAAAAACGGGAACGTCCCAACAAGATATATAACATTTGGCTTGAAAGAATACTGATTCTCCAGAATGTATGGAGGGGGCAGAAGGGTAAGAAAAGACATATAGGGCACATTTTACTTGCTTAGCATTATCATGGAAACAACTGGGAAATCAAATATTGACAATTATGTATCAGGGGCTTGATGATAATGTTGCAATAATGCTCAGTATTTTATTTTGTTCTGGGTTGGAGAATGTGAAAATCAGAGAAAAGTAGGGCTGGATGGGCCCTCCAGAGGTCATCTAGTCTAAACCTCCACCAGAAGCAGAATCACCCCTCTCCCAGCCTACTGAAATCCATCATCTAACCTATTAGTACAGACAACACCCACTTAGCGCTCTTAATTGGTTCCTGAAAATCCAAGCGTTAAGCAAAACCAAAAGTATTTGACGACCCAAGATGGCGACCACAATAGTTTTTAAATGACCCAAGATGGCAACCATGAGCATTATAACAAAACTCTCTGAGCACTATGTGAAATCAGTTATCAATTTAAAATGAGCGTTATAGCGAAACAGAACTAAGTAAAACAGTGTTAAGCGGGGGTCGCCTGTAAACCTACACTGTCAACCCTGACAACCATGAGACAGCACACTAACCTGCCACAAGTAAAGCAGGAGAACAACGGCAGCCAATGTCCTGCTGCTACAAAGGTTGTTAAAATTCACTCAAGAGATCCAAGGAGGAAAGCCATGCCCCCTACTAAGGAGGGAGGCAAAAGCCCTCACAGTCTGTACCACTCTGAGGTAAAACTGCTTTCTGACCCCAGCACAGGGATCAGTCTGACGCTGACTGACCATCTAGCCAGGAACCTCCAGGTTTAAGTCCCAACAGGAGCACCGGCAACCCCCAGTCAAAATATCCAGGCTTGGCTGTAGCCAACCCCTAATGTTTCTGGGAGGTTAACCACATGCGCAATTCCCCCAACACATGAAGAGGAGATTATAAAACAGGACTTCTGCCCAGGAGTTCTACCAACTGTATGTAGTCCATACTTTGGATCATGAATCAAAAATTAAAACGAACAGAAGAAAATGAATACATGACTGACTAGTTGGTATTACACCCTAAAAGCTTGCCTATGTGCACCTCATGTTATGAAAGGAACAAACCAAGGCACAGAACAACAATGAAGCAGAATCTATGGAGGAAGGTAAGAATATCTGAATGATATTCTACAGGTTTTTATGAAGTAGAAGCCATTGGATTTATGCATTTCTCATGATATTGGAGGCAGCAACAAGGAAGCATATTCTCGAAGATGTCTACGTATCAGAGCTCTGAAGTAGGGCTAGTTGAAAGTTTTCTGTCAAAACTGCTTTTGATGGAAAATTGACTGAACACATATGTTTTGTTTTGGGGGGGGGGTTGCAACAAGTTTTGATGAGAATGTAGACTATTCTTCAAGACTCTGAAAATAAGAACCTCAGCAAGATCATGGTGCCTCATGAACAATGCAATATGACCAGAGAGCATGACTCAAATAGAAGAATGAGGACATAAGGCAATCAACTACAAGTCTCATCAGGTATTGCCATGGAGTTTCTGAATTATTCTATTTTTAACTGCAATATTCAGCTTTTGATTTTGCAGCTAGGTGTTACCATTTTCTTTTTTTTTTCCTCCAGCCCACTTACTCTAGAAGCTATTCTTCAAACAACATCTCCAGCAGGCAAAGATATACAAGGGATTTGTTACACCTTATGCTGTGCACCATACAAGTGTTGATCAGTGCTACGGCTGGCCTGGAATTTGGAGCAGTCACACCTGTAGTCTAAAAACCTTTTGACTGTCCCCCACCTGCACAGCTGTGACTTGCCACTAGAGGCCTGGTGAACAGGGGCAGGACTAGGCGCTGTAGCTGTGAGTTGCCATTCGAGGGCTGGTGAGCCAGGACAAGCTTCTTTCCCTGCCCTACAGGCAGACATGGGAGACATCCTGGGATACTCTGGAAGGCTTCAGTTTGGCCAACACATCTGTGAGGAGTGGCCACATTTTACTGATAATGCAGATCAGAGATAATCCTGCCTTGGAGTGGTGTAACTTTGAGCTGCATAATGAGCGTTTTAAACCACTTTAAGGTGTTAATGTGCAGACAATCCAGGGTTAAGAGCTCCAGGAGCTACCCAAAATTGCTGTGTAACAAGGTCCTAAAGAAACAGATATTTTCTGGGTGGTGTGGACTGTGTTGGCTGGAAGGAGCAGTAGAGCTTGCCATGTATTTGGACAAGCATCTCCAGTGCAAGTTTTCCCAAACTTCTGGAACATCCTTCAAGTAATCAAGGAACTGTCTACCAACTGTCTATCACACAGCTCTTTAGGGTCTCAAGTGGCCTTTTGCTACTACCATTGGGCATTTATATACCTGCTTCAGGAGGAGGGGGGGGGCATCTTGTGTATTATTGTCCATATGCTTAAAAATGGCAGCAGGCAGCAGCACTTAAAAATGTGCTTAAAAATGGCAGTAGCACTAATAAGATTTAGTTAAAGTGCCCACTGCCATTTTTAAGCATGGAGACACTGATACACGAGACGCTAGAGTCTGCTAGAATGCAGTAATTACCACGCTCCAGCATACTCGATTAACTGAATCTGCTCCAATGCACAGCTTGAAAAACTATAGGTCAAATTTGCCTCTTGTGTAATTCCTCTGACTTCATTTACAAGATAGCAGGCATGATTTTAGCTATTTAATGTCAACGTATTTTAAAAACAACCGAGTTGACAAAGATGAATTTACAGGTAACTTAACACATAGTTCTTTTATTATTCTACTATTAATTATAATTACCAATCAAGAAACTATCCAAAAAGAAAATAAAAAGCAGATATTGTGTTGAAGAGTTCTAAAGAATATCATTCTTTAACAGCACCCAACCAGTCCAAGTTTCCCTGGGCCTGGCTGTTTCCAGTAATAATTAACAAACAGAAGGTTTTTCCAATTTTTATTTGAAAACTAAAATGAGGTTTCTCTTTTTGGAAAAATTCCAACCATGGAAGATTAATCTCCTTAACAGGACCTAAGAGCTATAACCTTCCAGTGACTAAAAAGAGGTCATGCATATGTTGGTGAAAAATTAACATGAAAGACTTACCTCCTCCTTTTGGGTTCAGCAGCTCAACTTGAAAAGATTTTTCCAGTTCAGGGACTGAGTTATCTGTGATGTTAATTGTAATATACTTGTATCTTTCTCCTGGCTGAAATTCTAAGGTGCCTGCAATTCCCTGAAAAATAAAAGGTGTTTACACTTTTGTTCACATGTATCTGTTGCACCAGTATGAACTCAAAGTAGCAAAAAACAGAAGTGGGCTTTCTATTTTGCTAATGGAAATATTTAAATTGACAGTTGGTATTTTGGGGTCTTTTGTTCGGGAGGGAGGGTTATATCTTCCACTGTATCTCAAGTTGCTCAAAATTTTCTTGTACTTTCACAGTACAAGACAAACCTCCAAATCTACAAAATTGCACTTTCACTAAAGTGCTCACATTTCTGTGTCTAGTTTGACTTATGCAAGTAAAACCAGATATATGCATTTAGGTTTGCTGGTATATGTCTATGTGTGTCTATGCACAAAAGTATGCACATTCTAAGCAAGTTCTCTTTAAATATTCAGGTTTAAAGGTCCAACCCAATCATTTGTCAGCAATTACTTCATTCCATGGCTTAAGCATAACTCACTCATGAGCCAGCAGGAGTGACATGAATCCTGGATGAAATTATGTAATTCCAAATTTTGGGAATTGCAACAATAACCAATACCCGCCCTGGCCAAATGGACATCTCATTGATCATAGAAAAATAAGAAATGAAATGAGCAAGTCTCCCCAAATTTCTAACATCATCTAAATCTTGTAATATGAGATGCTCTATTAATTATTTCATGACACCTCACTATTCATTTCTGTCCTTGCATGAGCATGTTTTCCACCCTGGCACTCTCATTCACCATGCTTGCCACATGATCAAAAGTAGTTCTATGAAAGACTCAGTTTAGAAAAAGTCCTGAATATTTAAAAAGCCAAAAGAAAAACTATTCTAGCTGCAAGGAATGAGCTGGGATGCAGGTATTACCAATAAATAAAATGGTACAGTATCAGTCATTTAATTCTACTACATATACCTGATAGTCTTCTGGACTGAATGCTGTCAGTGATACCGTTCTGTATTCCACCATAACTGTTCCAAGAAGGCCCTGTGCACGAACTACCAATAATTTGACATGTCCAATTTCTTCTTTAACAGTAATACGGGGCACAGTTGATGCTGGCAAAATCATTTTATCACTGGGCTTAGGAGGAGGCCCCAAAGAGAACTGTAACAACCCTAACAGATACAAAAAACAGTATTTAAACCTATCAGAAATAATCTATAATTCATTCTGAGTTGTTTAATTTAATATATTGTACATGGAAGTTGAACATCAATGAAATCTTCAGAGAAATGCTGTGTACCATCACCTCAAATTGATATTAATACCCAATAAGTCCTGCTGAATCTTGACAAAGCACTGGATATTGATAGAAATAGAATACATTCAGCTGTATTCTGAATGGTCCTCAGTCTGTCACAGGATTGGGCAAACAGTGAACTGACAAATACAGATTCAGAAATGGGTGGTTTTGTCAGAAGTTCTCTTCAACAAGCCACCATTACATGAGTGTACATGGAATCACCTATGCTAGCTGAGGATTTGCCCACCACAAGAGAATCCCTAGTTGCCTATGGTTCCTTTGTCCGGTTCCATAGGAAAGAAACGGTTCAATATTTAAAGTATACATCATTGTTTTCCATAAATAAATATTGAATAAATTAAGACTCTTATGTGGTAACCTTGCCAAAGGGATGCTGCGTCTTCAGCTACAAGCCTGAAAAACTTTATCTGCTGAACCTGAGTCAAGGAAACTCTCTGAAACAAAAAGGCAAATTTCCACCACTGTTACCATAAGGGTGGTCACTGGCTTTGATGGTGATATCCGTAGTTTCCTTTTCTGGATCTATGCTTGCTCCACTGGTTGGAGTTGAACCTAGTTTTCCATCTCCGGAAATTGCAGACACTAGCGTCACACGGAAATATTCATTTAGCTCAGGAATGTCATCATCAACCACATACAAGTTTAAAACCTAGAGAGGGAAGAAGCCACAGACAAATTAAATTAGTGCTATGACATAGGGGGGTGAGGGCACGAGGGGAGAGGGACAGCAAACCTGCATCACAAATTTTTATAGGAACTTAGTCAAAACACACTCAGTACTTAGTTACATAGTTCCACTTCCTATGCAGGTTTTTAAAAGATTCAGGTAGCAATTTACCTTTAGCCCAGGGGTAGGCAGCTCCCATCATGTGTGCCAGTATGGCATGCAAAGACATTTTGTTTGGCAGGTACACCTCGGGGCAAATGGTGGGGAAGGGGCCAGGACTGCACTGTCACAATGAGAATCAGGCCCCTCACAGCTCCACTGCCATCGGCCTCAGCACACTAACATCTTATAAGTTGAGGTTGTGGATATTTTTGGAACACTGCCCAAAAACGCTGCCAACCCCTGCGTTAGCCTAAAGTTTTATAGAAGAACTATCAACAGAAATAATGCAGGGTACAATTTTCTGAAGTGTCCAAGCAGCTTCGTAGCCTAAAACTCATTTTCAGAAGTGACTTTGACACTTGGGAGCTTAAGTCCCACTTATGCACCTTTGAAAATATTAGCTGTAGTTTACACTCAGAGCTTTTTCAGTCAAGCAGACTGGCTCTCCAGGCTTTGAAAATTAAAAAAAAAACCAAAATCATTAGCAGATGGATGTGCATGTCCATCATATTTCAGAATTATATGATCCCTGGTTTGTTGATGTCCTGAATCCAGATCATCTTCCACTAAGTATGTAGATCAGAGTCTCCCATGCATATATGAGAAAAAAACATCATATTTAGTACATGTGAGATTTGGCAGCATAGATACCAGAAAGGCAAGGATTTTTTGGAGGGTGGTATCTTTTATAGGAGCAACCGTATAGTTGGGATAAAATTAGACTAGTTTTTTGTATGCAAAGCATTCCTCTTCAGATCTGGAGGAGGAAAACATGCACACAATTTTTAAAAACAGCAGACAGAGATGTGTTCTGCTTTCATGCTCTGGTGAAAAGAAAAGCAAAAATTCACATAAACTTCTTTCTGCTGTGTTCAAAAGAAAAGAAAAAACTAGCAGATGATTATTTTCTTTTGCTAATTGTCCGCTATTCCTGGGAATTTCACAGCTCTACTCACTGTTCATATATATACACATACATATATATGAAGATCAGAGGGATCATTCCCTCATTCCGGCCATGCATTTGCATTTTCACAGGCTCCATTTGCATATTGGCTTAAGCTTCTATTCCACCCAGGAGAGCTCTCACACACCAGCAGACTCTCCCTATGCCTGAAGAAGGGTGTTTGTGTCCAAAAGCTTGTAAAGAATAATTTTCCAACTATTTAGCTGGTCGAATAAAAGATATCACATCTACCCAAAGAACCTTGTCTGCCCCAGTTTCATGGGTGTTTGAAGCTGATAGTTCAGCTTCAGTCTATCCATAGTTAACCTACTTTTGTAGAGATATATTCCATATATATAATGTATAGGTTTGAATGCATCTATACAGGAACAGGCATATGTACATACATCTTTCCAACCCAGTGATTCTCAACCAGGGTTCCAGGACACCCAAGGGTGCAGCAAGATCCTTCAAAGGGTGTTTCAAGGTGTGAGGAAATAAGCAGATAAATACAGGCTCTGTTTCTTCCCTGCCTCACCATTGCCCCACCCTCACTACCTGGCCCCTTTCCAAAGAGATAAGCACTGTAATTAATAGTTTGGCTTTTTTTATGGGGTGCCACTCCATTCACAAAAGTTACTCAGGGGTGCCTCAATGAGGAGTGCCTCAAATATAAAAACATTCAGAACCACAGGTCTAATCCACAGGGTGTCAGGACACAGGCAAAAATAAACAACAACTCGTAACAACCTGTCTGAGGGAAATACTTCCAGTATGAGAACCAGAAAAGGACACTGAGAAGGTACATTCCAGGAGGCTTGCAAAGAACAAGATGACTAACTTTAATAAAGAAGATAGGGTTTACCTCTGATCTTTGCCAAGGAAGGAATGTGATAGTGCCACTGGCATTTGCAAAATCAGCAACAGAGTAATTAATGCCAGTGGAATCGATCTGCGAGATAACGTAACTTATGTATACATAGTCCAGGGCTCCCCTTGTACGTTCCACAACACAGGATACAGTAGAACCCTCCTCAGCTGCCTGTAAACAAATAAGAAAGCTAACAATAATGCACAAGTATCAAGGAAATGAATACAATAAAAGCAAAAGAATTGTTCCCCCCCAAATTATCAGGTATTCAGAGAGACATTCATAGAAAATTGTTGCCTTGTTACTTTAAGATCTTTCAGGAGACTTAGAAAACGGTACTGTCTGGAAGATAAACTGGCCTCGATGCTTTTGAGAACAACCCAAGTGCTGCTCTAATTTGCACTGGTTTTTAATATTACCCAAAGAAATATCAATTCAGCAAGTATCACTAGAGCATGGGAAGATCCGGTCACATGCCCCAAACCACTCTTGTAGTTGGGGGTGAATAGGTGAGCTGTCACTGACTTCCTTAGAATTAGATATGACAATATATTTTACATTCCCTTTAGCAATTCAGTCACTAAAACAATTCTGGCTTTCTCCAGAATTAAATATGCTACATGAACTAAACGGACTGTATTTTCCTCCTTTATATTTTTTCTCGATGATGATAGGTAAAGGGCAAGTACTGTGTGCTATAATATATTCTTTATAGGAAGTAAACCTAGTTGAATAATAGAATTAATAATAGAACATAATATTACTTAGAACCTCCATTTTTCAAAAGGTTTGAGATGTACAGCATCTATTATATGCAATGTTGTATGACAGTTTGAAGCATATACTGAAAATAACTTTGTTCACAACTAGACAGATATGTACACAATGCAGCTAAGCCCATGCTAAAAGAATGTTGTGTATTTACAACATCAGCATTAGTTTTCCTGCTGAAAGAGATGTAAGGTGAGTGCTGAACAATTAATATCTCCTATTCATTTTTAATTCTGCTCCATGCTTGGGTGAAGATCTGTGGTATCAGACTGTATCAATGGCACTCAGACCTGAAAGAGTCTATTTTCATAGCATATGGCAGGCACTTAAAAGCCAACAGACACAAATTGAAAAACTGCTTTCATTCAAACCAAAAACAATACATCCAAACATATCATAAAGGCTTCAAAACAGGGATAATGTAATAGAAAGGACATGAAAGTTCTCAACTATAAAACCATTTAGTGTTACTTTCTTATTAGTACTCTACAAACTATTAACTTTTGAAACCATGAAAATACTATAAAGAACTTAAAAATTTTACATAGTAGATGTTCATAAAGATAACTGATTTTAAATATATAGCAACATTCTTAAAAATAAACTGAGACCATTAAAAGTCATTAGTCTGATTTACTCTGAAGTTTGGCTTGTGAAAAATGACCTGATTCACTGGGACTTTTTTTTTTTTTTTTTTTTTT